GTGTGCACGTCTACGTGTACGAGCGCGAAATTTCACATGCACTATTTTCGCCGGTCGCTTAGCTGGAGGAGGGCAAGCGATTGTTGCCTCACCGCACAGGCTCCATAGGAAATGAATGGAGAGCGAGCGACGTCGCCTCCCGTGTGTCGAACCCTTCAGACAACCTCTGTAAAAAAAATTCTTAAAAAGCAACATGAAAATAAAAACTCATAACCTGTTTTCTTACAGAAAATCGAGCCCCTTTCACTTTTAAACCATGCCTGAGACCCATTTTATTTATTTTAATAAAGGACAACATGTAATGCAAAATGATATAGAAGCCATAAATATTAAAGGTTTCTAATGCATTAAAAAACACATTTGACAAGGCCACTCACCCATACATACCAGTCACACATACAGACGTGCACACGTTTTAAACATGCACACGTTTCTCGTTACTTACTTGATGTAATAGGGAACCTTATTCTGAGAAACTGCACGTTGCCAGGGGAGCTGTACAGATGCTGCAAGAGCAAGAGACAAATAATTCAGAAAAAAACACTCCAACTGATGAACCATTTTTATAAACACTTTTCTAAACCATTTGCTGCTTGAAGCTCGACTTGAAATAAGTCCGACATCTTCCTTTTTCATAAAACGATCTAAACAAATGCTCAAATCGTCTGCAGTAAAATGGTAATAATCAAGTAGTTCTTCAGAGCAATAAGCAGCAAAATGTGCGATTTGTCTCTCTAGCACTTCCCCTCCTCCCTGACACAACTCTACGCTCAGATAGAGAGATGAAAAGACAGTAAGAGAACGAGATTAAGAGGGATTGGGAGATGTACGAGATGGATCGGACGCGATAAGAACGCAGTATTTTATTGATCCCCGAGGGAATATTAAGCTACTAGTGTAATGGGAGTGAGTTCGTGATGGAGGAGATAGTGCCACGGCATCACAAAGATGAAAGAAGAGTAGTATTATTGTCTGGTCTCAGCTCTCAGCAGCGCTTGCTTAGTAAATTCACGTCTGTCGTTGGCGCAGCATGGCGACGGAACAGCTGCTCTGAATCGCRCATCCATCATTTTGTCTTCGTGTCTGACGGCCAGCAGAGTGCATCAGGTGGAGCGGGAGGGGCGCTGAGGGCTGGATGATTGTAAAAGTGAGGGAAATGAAGAAAGACAGAKAGGAAAAGGCCTGCTTAACGCGTCTGATTCTTGTCTTTAACTTTCTCCGTTCGGCTAATGACCGCTCCAACGGGGGAGCGACAGGAGGGAGTCAGTAAAACTGTAATTAAGCCTCACATTATTTAGGAGTGAAGTGCCTCGTCTGCAGGCTGCGCATGAGCGTGCACATATCTGACGAATGTGTGATGAGATGAGAGGGAGGATGTGAAACTGTGTAACTGAGTGGAAACGATCCGAAGTGCGTCCCCCCCTCTCTGTGATGGTAATTGTACTCACTGGAGAGGAAATGTTGGGAAGAGGGGCCGAAGTCTCTGTGCGCCTCCTGAAGAAGTTTGAGTCGGTCCTCAACTGCTACCTGCAAGACGAGCACACAGACAGAAGAGGACAGTGAGCCGGGAGAGAGCCATCGCAGAAACACAACGATACAGTGGCTGAACTCCACGTCATGGTTGGGACAAACTCAATTTTCAGAGTAATTAGAAAAGAAATGGCTTTTCAGCACAAGTCAAAAAACTTTCCTCCAATACAAGCCTAAGTTGAGTATGAGGAAGGCAGGAAATCAAAAGATCTTGTATCTTTTACCTGCTCCTTTTCAAGCAAATAATGTAAAAAGGACCTGCCTAGAATGGGTTATTAGTTCAAGAAAAATTTGATGGTTTGTTTTAATTTTACTTTTTTATTTTGTTTTGTTGCGTAAAGATTATTATTGATAAGTTTATTCAATGGAGAAAAGGCATAGATATTATAAGATTTTTTTCTTTTTTCTGCTGCCTTTCATTTCCTTTTATTAGTTTTTTTGTATTTATTTTATTTTGTTTTGTATTTTATTTAGTTTTTTATTTTTATTTTATTTTTAATGACATGAAATGAATAAATGAAAAAAATACAAGCCTATATCTTTACACTAACTACATGCATATGCACAAATCCCCAATCAAGGGGACGTTGAACCCCCGCTTGCATTCACTACATTCACATAACACAACATGGGTCCGGTGATGGGGCACATGACCCTCTATGAACAATAGAGCCAATCAAGTTAGTCCATGGCCCTATTTTGCATGTGACTAACCTGTTTGTCCATGTAGAGGCAGTGCTTATAAGGCTGAGTTCACCTGAAACTCAGACTGAAGAAGTTTCTTGGAGGAGAGATGAAACGTTTCACTAAAGAAGAAACCATCCAGAGGACCTACTTATTTTTTTTCTTTCTGATATATGCACAAAGTTTGAAACGCATTGTTTATATGGGCACAGAATTAAACTAGATACTTCGCAACAATGCACCAGAACTCCGAACTTGTTTTGGGTGGGGGGTCTGGGGTGGTAGAGGGGCTCATTGGTGGGCCTGATGGATAGCCATACATCAGAGGGAACCAACAAAAAAATGTCTGAATCTCCTACGTTCAATAGTTTTTGAGTTATAAGCCTTTTTGTATGTCCAGACACCCACTTTTTAGATGGAGCCCCCTCCTCAAACGTGGGGTCTATCATAAAACCGTTGGCTGGTGCAGTGTAGGTCGAACACATCTACCTTCCTGCCAGATTTCAYGTTGATCGGTGCAGCTGTTTCCGTGATACGGTTGACCAAAAATCACSAAGTTTCTAACAGAAATGTACCGATAAACAATCAATTTTACTTCCTCCGCAAATTAGCATCTAGCCAGGCGGAAATAGGTCAGGTTGACATCGGGCGCATAGTCGGGTCAGTTTTCCACAACCAGAATAATGATCAGAATAGGTGTTTACATGCAAACTGCTCAGATTATCAATCATTATGAACCACCCCTCTCATTCAGATTACAAGTTCTTTCAGATCAAGCTGAATCGGATTGGGGCGTTTTAATGACACGTTTTTATTCAAATTGGCCATTTATTCCAAGGACTTATGTCCACGTAAACATAGCTACTGATATAAACTCAAGGGATAGTTTACATCTTTATGTATTWGGTTCTGTGAAAAGGTTTAAATTTCCTTACATTTTGTGCTAGGTACAGATAACTGTTTCACAGATTAACAAGTTAACGATTAATCCAACTGAAGAAAAGACCAAAACAAATAGCTGATATCACGAAAAAAAAACTTAATTTAGGAAAATTAACCTTCACATCTCCATCATTTTTGATTACAAGCTTCAAATTGAATCCCTGGGTTATTTGTGTGCAACAAAAGTTAGCTATCTGTAGCACTTTGAGGCTCTTTTAGGAGGAATTTAATTTCTGACAGAATAATTGAACTAAAATATCTGTCCAATAGAGTTTGCATGAACTACTATGACTACTAATGAACCCTGATGCTTCACAGTGTCTGTCAAAACTTATATAGAAATGGTTTCCTTCTTTAGAAAAGTTATACCTGATGAATGATTGTTTTGTCATCATACCAACATTTGCTCCTTTGAAAAGCCGTGTATCATCCCAGCCAGCACATCTGTGCCCTGCTGTACATGTCCGTCTGTTTGCTTTATTACATCTGCTTTGACTGACAGCACAGTGTTGGTCATCTATAACACTGGGGCTTGCACCTTCCTGCAGCTACTTTGGGGGATGATGACAGCCAGATCAGACACGTCCACACAGAGGTCCCAGTAATGGGCACAGAAAGGACAGTAGCTCTGTCTCTTTTTTTTTTTTTTGGCCACTAATGACTTCCGTGCCCACAACACCACAGCAAGACAGATGGTGACCGCCTGCATATGAACGAAAACCATCAGACAAGGCTTATTTGAGAAGCCGCTGCCTTCCTGCAGGCTGAAACAAAGGGGAGCAGACRGAAAAGAAGCAAAGCAGTGAAAAGCCGCCATTCTCTGACTCAGTGTTTGAGTTATGATCACACTAATGGCAAAAAAGACCATTAATGGGAGTCTGTAGCGCACATGGGACACATCAGAGGGCCACAATTTACCCCCGCTCGACAGACTTCCCCTGCAGCATTGACATGTCTAAAAAAACGGAAGAACACGAGGTTTCTTCCAGTCTCTTTTCCTCAGCACAATAACTAACTTATTTTGATGCACTTTTCTGTAATGAGGTTCAACTCKTTCATCTAAAATGAGACTGTTGTGGGCATTGGTGCCTTTGAAATCACAGTTCACAGTTTCCTTGTAATATAAAGGAACATTGCTTCTTCAAATGAGCACCAATGGTATCACAACAGCATTCTAAATAAACCTACTTATGTGGCACAAATAAAAAGAGTTGCCATTTTTTCCAAACTATTCGTCACACTTTTTTTTCACAGTTTGGCTGGTCCTGCAACTTATACTCCAGAGCGACTTATATATATGTGTGTTTTTTCCTCTTCGTGATGGTTTTGATCAATGCGTTCAATTCATACTAACTGAACCAATGAGTAAACATTACCATCTGCAACCGTGAGAGGGCGCTTTTTGTGACAACAACGGTTTATGTTGTTTCTATTATCTACCGGTTTAAAAAAAATAGCAATAAGTAAATATGGAGTGAATGAGAAGCTTGTGAGGGAGTGGTGAAAAGCAGAGGTTCCTCTTGTTGCAGAAAGCTAATCGCGTCATGTGGAACATGATTGGTGAACTTGCTGGTAACGTGCTTGTTGGAATACACTGGGCCCGGCTGGTTGGGTTTGCATTGGCAGGGATGAAAATATTTCAAATGTGTAAATCTTTCAATTTATTTGTGACACAACAATAATGGACTACACCAAACTGGAAGGAGAAATACCAAAGACTGTATCGGACCCTCCAGCAGTATGATGCTAATGAACAACACAAAGGACGRTAAGCTAATGGTAGCTAATGTTAGCTTATTGTTGGTACTGTAACTTGCCTTTTAGTTGCTTGCTGTAGATGTTGTTTAGTTAAACTCGTGAAAAATGAAAACATAAAACACACGTTACAAATAGGGGTGCAACGATACAGAAAATTCACGATTCAGTTCGGTTCGATACTTTAGTCTCATGGTTCAAGATTTTGTCGATACAAAGAAGAGAAATGTCCATGCCTTTTTTAACTTGTAATTTGTTTAAATTAATTCTGAACATTTGTTTGTATCAAAAGTACAGTTTTAAAATTAAATGTTGCTGAAACAGCAAGTTTCTCAGTGGATCTGCGCTCAAAAATGCAGCCTAGGTGGAGTAGTCGAACACAGATCCACTGATCCTTCAACATAGAGCATCTTCAGAAGACGTTGATAAAGCAAATTTTAAAAAGCTGTATTGTTCAATACAAGTGTGTATTGAACCTAAAGCACTGTTCGATACGGTTCAATACGGGTACATGTATTGTTGCACCCCTAGTTGCAAAGGATTAACATGAAGTTACTCTCATCTGTCATCAGTCTGTTATTCCAGATTCAATGTGATTTTTAGTCAGGTGTGGTTTATACTCCAAAGCGACTTATAGTCCAGGAAATACGATTTGACAGATCTGATACACACAAATAAATTAATTGTTTTTTGATCAGAGGGAGAACACGGTATAAGATCTAAGCTTTAAGGTTAAACTGATCCCCTAAAAAATATCTGATACTGACAACACCACGCTGCTCATTTATGCAAAAACTATTTGGATTTCACTCCCTTGTTCACAACAAACTGCCTCTCTTCGTTCTCTTCCCTTCTCTTCTCCTGCGATGACAAGTAAAAGATGTGGATTTTCCTCCAGGGCTAAACCCGTTCCACTCAGTGGGTTCCACGGCGGATCAGACCAACACCAGCGAGCTTGTAGAGAGGAGCTAAGTGTGAGAGAGGTTTGCTGCGAGAACGGCATCCACTGATGTGTAGTGACAACGTGTTGCATTAAACACGGAGCTGCACTCAAATCAAACAGGCACRCCAACACAGGGAGGTCACTCTGTCTCCAAAGTTTATTTAATGACTCAAAGTCAAATCCTCTCAAAGCTCGRTGCGGAGAAGAACACGAAATGTAAACAGGCAGAAGGATAATGAGAGAACAGGAGGAAAGGCAATCAAAAATGTTGACAGGATACTGAAATAAAAAAAAACTCATGATAAGCAACTTTAGTAGATAGTGAAAAATGGTTTGTAGCTACTGCGTATTCAAGCCTCCTGTCTATTAATTACCTCCGTCAAGGAAGGAAGGAAGGAAGGAAGGAAGGAAGGAAGGAAGGAAGGTCTGTCTGTCTGTCTGTCTGTCTGTCTGTCTGTCTGTCTGTCTGTCTGTCTGTCTGTCTGTCATTCTGTCTGTGGACAACATTACTCAAAAACTTGTGGACAGATTGTCATGACATTTTTTATCACATGCGGGCACTGGGCCAAGGAACACACCTTTAAATTTCGGTGATGTTCTGGATCACGATGGGGATACAGGAATTTTTTTTTCTTCTAACACTCTGAGATCGGCAAAGCTGTGATGCTTTCACAGGGCTTCTGTAAAAATACAGTGAGCTGGATAGGACAGCACAGACTTCAAACTTTATAAAAGTAATGTTAAAACCACTTTTAATGATAAATAATTTTTGCCATAATATGCGCATTTACAGAACGTTTTGTGACCAGGAAGTGCGTTGACTGCACCACGAAACCTATTTTTCCCCATTTTCTCAAACACACCACATTTCCAAAACAACCAATCAAAACAGTTTCTCTCTACTAGGCTTGTAAACAGAGAGCTGCCGGAGAGTCAAACCATTACAAACTCATACAAGGGGATAAAACAGACGTTTTACATGGTGAAATGTGACTGATGAAAACTTAGGAGCTTAATCCGACACCAGTTTGAYGATGAATAACGTYRGGTGACGAGTCTGACTTTTTTTTTTCACATTGGACTCCACCGAGACRAAATYCCGYGCATACTGCCTGCTTAAATGTTCGCTACRTCAMAACTTATTWGGCAAATGTGTTTCCATCKCTGCTTTTGYGCATTAACTCTTMCAGGATGGGGGAAATTGGTCTTGGCGGAGGTTTGCACTCTCCGAGTGCTTCTAGTTTAAGTCTATTTTAAGCATAAAAATATCATTTACATTCTAAACTAACATTTGCACATTTAACACAGTTATTGCACTTTATTTATTAGATAAACTCCACAGGTAGTCACAAATTATTTTAAATGCCAATACTTTYTTATTTTTTATTTTGTTTTGGCTTGCTCTGCAAATAATCTGAATAAGAGCCGAGTWGTCAGATCTCACGACAAAACCAAGACCAAGGAGAATTCTTTCGCATAAAATCAGAATATAAGTAGCTGCTGCCAAACACAATGGTTACATGATTCTACCTAGAACAAGATTCCATCTTTTACTTTCTTTGCCTGTTTTTGAGCCACGATTTGTCCTCCAAACCCTCAGCGTTTTTAGTGAAGTAGCTGCAGGAACAGAGCTGATTTGTCTCCCTGCCTGTCTGTGTGGCAGGAGAGGGGCAGAGTGAGGAAAATTGGGAGAAATCATGCATACTGCAGGAGGTCAGACCAAGCAGTTTATGCTTTATTAGCCAAGCAAAATGCTTWTTTAAAGCAAACCCAAAAAGGCAACATTTTAGCCATAAAAATGTCACCCACCTCTGCTGAAACGAGATATGAAAATAAAAACAATAAATACATAAAGCTGTTCATTGGGCTTCTTGTTGTGATGCTGAGTTATTCTTGACATCTTATTGTGGTAAAAAACAGTGTAGTGTTTCTTTTTTAAACTTTTGGCCTATTTGAGTTTTCCTGTTTGTTTTTTTCTCCTTCTTTCCCATCATCATCGCTTTATCTAAAGCAGTTTTTTCAGGCTCCTCCATGAATCGTTAAATTAAATTTTGACAAATCGAAACACTGAAACTACCTGCAGGTTCTTCCATCTCATGTTGAGTTGGTCCAGTTGTCTGGAGGCAGTAGATGACAGCTGGATGTCCAGCGGCGTCAGCTCAGCAGCTAGCTCGTCGACGACCCGAACTTCCTGACGAAGAGGAGTGATCTCCTCCCTGAACGCCTGCACAGAAAAACAGATGCAAAAAATTATTTGAATTTATTCTGTAAACAGTAAATGTGTTAAAAAGAGAAATGAGTGCCGATGGTTTAAAATTAAAATGTTTGAAGAAGCTGAAACTGATCTGTTAAAGCTAAAAAAAAAAGGGCAGAACACTAGCTAGAGGCAAAAAGCTAAGCACAAGCGAAAAGTATCAAAATGTAAGCTAAAAACAACAAAACACAACCTTAAAAATAAAAGTAGCAAAAGGGTAGATAAAAACTAAAAATAGCAAAATGGTAGCAAAAAGGATCAAAAACTTGTATAAAAACTAAAAATTTACAAAAGCTAAAGAAGCAAAAGCTGAAAGTAGYAACAGGTTGGCTAAAAATATCAAAAATCTAGATAAAAGCTAAAACTAGCTAAATGAAAGCTAAATACATAAAACCTTAGCTAAAGATAAAAGTCTAGTAAAGTAGCAAAATGTAGCATAAGGACAGCTAAAAGTAGCAAAAGGCTAGCTAAAACATAAAAGTAGCAATAGGCTAACAATTAGCTAAAAGTACRTAAAGGTTGATTTGAGGAAATCTCAGTACATCTTTATGGGGGAAATATTTTAAAGAAAAAAATAAAAGGAAATCCAAAAGACATCACACTCATCTCCTGAATGAGCTGCACATTTTTCAAGCAGCTAAATTCMAAAAACAGGRAAACAGCAGTGTGAAAGCTGAATGGGTGTAATTAATATTTGTAAATTGTGCTGCGTGTTAGAAAAATATATGAGTGTCCCGGCTGTCAGGAAGTCTATTAATWGTCTCTTTAATATGAAGTGGCCCCTGACTGACAGGGAAATAAATCTGAGTGAATGAAGTGTCCGCAGCACAGAGACACAGGAACGCGACACTTGTGCATCCACGTGCAACCTGAGTTATGATGATTTTCTGCACCATTCATTTCCCACTGTCATCTGTCATCCTGTTAGTTTTCTGCTCACTAACTCAATGAGCGGTTTCTCGGCCAGCCTCTTTGACAGAAAACAAAAATGTTGTTGAATGTGGTGAGCGCTACAGAATAATGCACAGAATCAGCAAACCAAAGACTTCTTCAAACGGAGACGAATAAATACAGAGAGGAGCGGCGAATGTGTCACGGATGCACAACTTTTGATCAGAACGCTGCTGAATTATTTACGCGACTCATCTACAATTCGTTCCAAAAGTTTTAGCTCAATTTTAGAAACAATAAAATAAATAAATAAATGAAAAAAACCTTGCCTTTTGATCTGAAACAAACTGCTTTGACTCACTGTTGTTTTCTCGATGTGGTCCTGGAGGGAGTCGATCAGCAGATCACCGACCGGCTGCCAGGAAGCCGTGACTTCCTCCGCCCGAGTCAGCTGCAGGTCGAGCTGGTCCATTGAGCTCTGCACGTCCTGGAGGCGCTCCAAGGCTCGCTCCACCTGACTCTGCCAGCCGCCCACGTGGCCCCTCAGACGCTCCCACCGCTCCTTCACCTCGCCCGTCTGTCTGCGGATGGCTCGGGCCAACGCTCGGGCCTTCTCCTCCGGGCTGAGATCTCCTGGAAAACGGAAACGATTTCAGAACGGTTATTTTTGTTTGATGTAAGCCTACTTACTCTACTTCTGTCGGATAATGAGGACATCTTCAGGAACTGTGTCAGCCTCTTCAATGTTTGTTTTAAACGTTCCTCTTCTGAAAACAATCTGCTCCCTGTAATAAGGAACTAAAAAAAATTCTATTATTTTCTTTCTTGCACATTAATTTAAACCAGACCTCATATTTAAAGCCCAAACAAAGCTAATTAAAAATGCTGCTTTTTGAAACGTTGTTCTTTTAGAAAATAGAAATCTGCTTCAAATGTCCAACTTTGTCAGATGAAATATATCGAATTTCTTGTCAAAGAAAATTAATTAAAAAAATCTTTGTCTTTGGTTTACAACTGTAAATGTATTTTTAAAAAGAGCTTTTAATTTAAACCCTGTAAAGCTTAAATTAGCTTAAATCAAGCAGGGTTTCAATTTTTTATCAGTGTTTTTCAAAGTGGCAGGGCAACAGGGGGCGCTAGAGGGGGCCTCGGAAAGCTGGAGGGAAGATAAGAAAAACATACAAAAATACTTTTTTATCCAATAATGTGTTTTTTTTTAATGTTTTAAGTCATTATCATCTGTTTTTCAATCACTGTTTTAAAATATAATTTATAATCTTATATTGAAATGTTATTTAGGAGATCTTAAGAGGTTTAATTTCTTTTTGTCGTAAAGTTGATTTTCAGTGAGAATATAACATGTTAGAACAATTCTTCTACAAAACAAATATAATAATTATGGAATATTGAATAAATGAATAAAAAACATTCTAAACGTTTATGTTTTTTTTTTTTTTTTACATATTTTGTAGCCTTTTATGTTGGTTTGCGAGGGGGTTCCCAGGCCAGGTTTGAGATTTCCTGTACATCACTTTTAGCTCTAACTCCTCAGATAACAGCAGCTAAATGTCAAGTCTTCAAATCAGCACTACATGAACTACCAGGTGGTAAAACAGTGACTAATGTCTCTTTTTTACTAATACAGTCATTGCATAGTAACATTTAAGCTGATATTAGGCAGAGAGGCTTAACTCCTCGAGGGAGAAACAGTAAGAAGCGGTAAAATAAAAAAAGAAAAAGGAAACATTATAGAGGACGGTGCAGGAWGCAGGCATGACAAAAGTGGCCAGCAGAAAGGAAAACCTGAGGCGAGGYGGTGAAGGTGAGTGGACGGGGTAATTGCTAAAGATCAGAGGACGCCACCAGAGAGAGTGAAGCAGATAGAGGAGATAACGGCTCCCTTTATACCATTTTAACTGCAGAGAAAGATGAGCAGCTTTTATGAGATCCAAGGTCTCATCTCTTGTGTAGCGACTGAAAAACCATCTTCACCTGTTGCACCTCGGTAATCTCTCTCTTCTTCCTCGGCCGCCTCGATACAGTCTGACTAACGGGAGGCGCATCCTGCATCTTTTACAACCTGTTTTTTASCAGTGAGTCAAATTATTTCAACAGATGATTCAGAATTTAGTGATTTCAGGCCACTTAAACTAAAACTCAATAAAAACATTTCTGTTCAAGTGAAAGAGTTTTTTTGGGAAACCTGTACTGAAAGTTTTATTTTTTGTTCTGGTTTAGTTTCAAAAACTGAAGAGTTGCTTTAAAAATTCTGATTGGCAGATAAAGGAAGCAGATGTCAACATTAACAGCTGAATCAATCAAAATTAATAGGATTAAAACAGTTTGATACTGAAGAAGTTGGTTGATGATTTTCTTTTCATAAAACATAATTGTTTGGCTTGAATAAAATATATATATATTTTTTCTAACTTTGGAAAATCTAGTGCTATTAAAAATAATATGCCAAAGAGAATTCTTGCTTTAAAAACTAATTTCTGGGCTACAGGGTTGCATCAGCTGATTAACTCATTAAGTATATACAGGTACGACCCACTGCTGGTTTCCTGCTAATTAAATCTGGTCTATCTGTAAGAAAATTTAGTGTTCATGAACAGAAATCGAGACGAAAACCACATAAATGATGAATAGATTAAAGTGTGAAGAGATTAGACCATACAACTCCAGATCTGGCACGAGCGAGCTGTTTATTCCTCCCAGCTGGAGTCTGTAACAGCAACGCTGAAAACAAACCCGAAGTTCTGGTCTTTTATACATACATGGTTCTTCGGTGCCTGGCGCACCCACTACAGGCCTACGGCTGCATCGCAGGCCACTTGAACAAACATTACCTTCCCTTATGAATTGATAACGGTTTTTCTATGTGTTGTTGGTGGTTCGGGCAAGTATCTAAACTATTTTAATCAAGACATAACAATCGTCAAAAAATAGATCATAAAAGTCAATACTTAAAAGGGAAACTAAGAAAATGGTGTAGTGCTTTTAACATCAGTATCTAACCGATAAATTCCTTCATATCTATAAGCAAAATGAAACAAAAAAAAAACTAAGGAAGCCCTTTTAAATAAAAAGTGAAAATGAAGTGAAATAATAAAAWAGGTAAATTTCTTTGTTATGAAAGCTTAGGATTAATATGGCTCAGTGACGATAAACAAATACTTCAGGAGTTTTCACATCTTCAAGGACACAAATGTTTTTAGAATAATGTTACAAACCAGTCTTTGGCTGCAGGTTCTTCCGTGGTTCTCCAGGACCCTCAATGGGTTGGTCAGCGAGGAACGTCCTGGCCTGGTCCAAGGTGCTGATCACCAAATGCTCCCGCTCCTTCAGTTCTGAGTTCAGTACCTGCAAAAAAAAAAAAAAAAAAAAAAACACAAAACGATGAACTAGAGATACCTTAACACTCATCACATTATTTTTATTATAATATACAATAATCATATCTGTTATTATAAAGATTATTGCAAATACAAATATGTGTGCCACCCAAACGGTTCATTACTGGAGGGCAAAAAGACAGATCTTACTTATTTCTATATTTTTCTTTAAAGTAAGACGAGAAAAGACCAGATTTGTCTCACATCTCATGACTGCACCTCCACAGAAATGTGAAGTAAAATTGTATTTATTTAGCGCCTTTCACAGAAATAAATTCACAAGGTGCTGTACAGTTAAGAACACACATTCAAGAAGACACACATGACAAACATGGGGGAACAGGTGAACAGGTCATGCAGCAACAGACAGTTGTGCTACCTTTAACTAATCTGCTAATCCTGCTTTGTTCTTCTAACACTTATAACCAGCTCACACTCAATATTTATAACAAAAACACTCAAATCTGGTGTTTACGCTCAATTTATGGAGATAAAATACTCCAAGTTAATAAAAGTGTTTCCTTGCCCTTTATTTGCTTTTTAAGCGAAAAAGAGCAGAAAAATAGCAGATATATCAGGAGCTCTGAGTGGAAACTAAAATAAAATCAAAACAATTGTCAAAATTTTGTGCAAATTTACTAATTATGACTCGTTGAACAATTCAAAGCTGTAAAGATGTCACAACCCGCAACTTCCACATATTTTGCTCATCCTCTGACACAAAAACCCAGAGGGATCCACATGTTTACAATCCTACCTCTAATCCATTATACGGTGGCTGTTAGTTAAAGTTCACAAATCAGTTTGAAAAATTAAAGCCCGTGGCAAGAAGTAGATTTTAACATGATGCACAACAAGCAGCAAATCCATACAAAGGAAGCGGGCGGGCCATATTATGGTCTGTTTATTCATGTTTTAATATAACTGTGACCCCTACAGGACTACGCTGCCTATCGGAGTGTGTGATTGTTTTGTGAAGAAGCTGTGTACTTTACGTTGCTGTGAGGCAAGTTGATGAAATGGGATGATTCTCCTTTAATAAAGCTGCAACACTTATCAGTAAAGCAGGAGAAGCTGAAGTGGGTTACATTCAAATACACAACACTGACCAGCCAAAGGGCTAACTGTGCTGCCTTCACTGGAATAAAATATATAAAACATCTAAAGAGTTGTGGGAATAGAGGAAGTAGATAGTAGATGTCCCTATAATGTTTTCTTCAAGTCTGGAAGTAAAATTGCATCATTTCAGGGAGTAAACTCCTTTTAAAGTTGAGTTTATGCCACTAAAATAAGAATTTCGCACAGCCCCCTGCAGACAAATGCACTGTCACACTGAAATGGAACATCCTCCTCAGCACAAATTAGATCATCCCTGCTAATAAATGGTTTGCTCCGTTCCAATGATTCCTCCAAAATCACATGTCGGGGAAATAATGGGCAGGTAGCTCAGAGTTGGGGACCCAGAAAGATGGAAACTAAATGAGAGGTGATGGAGGAAGAAGGGAACAGGACTCAGCAGAGATGAGAAAAGGGGAGGAAAGCCGAGCTTTCTCTCTACAAGGAAGACTACCAGTGGAAACTCACCTTGTAAACAAAATACTCCCACATTAATAAATCCTGCCCAGCTAATCACATTAAGCTGAAATATCGAATCAACCCTCCTGCTGTCCTTGGGTCAAAACAACCTGAGGCCTCAGCCCTTAAAAACACATTGCGAGCAATAATACATGTCTTAAACTCTCATAATACTGAATGAAATGCTGCCTAATGTCACCAAAGCAGTTATATATGATGTTCAWTTAAAACTCTGGCATGATAAGATGCGGTAAAATATGTATTACTTCAGGAAATGGGATTCATTTGGAATCAAGGAACTTTGGATGAGTTCAAAGAACTAAATCACTACATCTASGAGCAATAATTCGTTTGATTTGCTAATTATTTCCCCACACTAAAAACCAAGCACATTTCAAGCATTTTCAAAGTAAATTGTCCAACTTTTCAAGCATCAAACTACAACGCAGTCCATTTCTTTGGTCTCTTTATCAGGAGATCTTTACAGCTCACACACTGGTTTTATGAAAAGGAAACCCACTCTGAGCAGCGAGGCTTTCTGAGGATTCATTAAAGGCAAAATGACCACTCTGTATTTTTAAGTATTTAATGTAAAAATATAAAATGGAGGTTTTTAGAAACTGAGTGCTCTTTATAACAAAACTGTGCAGTTTGAATACCAAGCACTTTCYAAACTCGTTAAAATTAAAGCATTTTGAAGGATTTCAAGCACCTGTTTGAACCCTGAAGAAGTCAGGTGGGATAGTTTGGTTATCTGATTAGGGTGCCCCCTGGACACTTTCTTTGTGGAAATGTTTCTAAATGTCCCGCTGGAAGAACAGCCTGGAGCAGACCTGGAACAAGCTGGAGGGATAATGAATCCTCTCCAGGCTGGGAATGTGTTGGGATCCCCCCAGAGGGAGCTGGAGGGAGTCACTGAGGAGAGAGTTTTTTAAGCTTCCTATCTGGACCTGTTGCCTCCACAGGCCGGACGTGAAGGGATGTGGTTTCATTGATACTGAAATATATTTTTATTTATTCTCAACTGCACTGCGAGTACATAGCACATTTATATTCTAATACTTTTATATTAAAATGTTTTTATTATCAATGTGATATCAACAGACATRCACACGGCTGTGTCCAAATTCAGGGGCTGCATCCTTCGAAGGCAGAAATTGAAGGCCAATTACTAGGGGTGCAACAATACATGTACCTGTATCGAACCGTTCAATAAACACTTGTATCGAACAATGCAGATGTTTTAAATTTATTTTCTCAGCTTGTCTTCTGAAGATGCTCTCTGTTAAAGGATCAGTGGATCTGTGTTCGACTACTCCACCTAGGCTGCATTTTCGAGCGCAGATCCACTGAGAAACTTGCTGTTTCAGCAACATTTAATTCAAAAACTGTCCCTTAGAAGTGAAACAAATGCTCATAATTAATTTAAATAAATTACGAGTTTAAAAAGGGCATGGACATTTCTCTTCTTTGTATCAAAAAATATCGAACCGTGAGACTAAAGTATTGAACCGAACTGAATCGTGAATTTTCTTTATTGTTGCACCCCTACCAGTTACGTCATAGCGATGCGCCGAAGGTCACTTCCTGTGACGATATGTCATTTTCTTGGGCAGGACTTTTTTCTGAAGAAAAGCCATTACCATGGAGAGAGGTGGGGCTATTTTGCCATAATCTGAATGTGTGCAGGGTGGTCCACAGCACTGTGAGGTGGTAATTTTACACACGTGCAAATAAATATTCAAGTATGAGAACTGGATCGACTTTTCAAATTGAACAAATCTTTAAAGGGATCCCTAATTAGTTGTAACATTAGACTTTATTTGATAAACWTATATTTTAACTGTAAAATAAAGACTGTAAAAATACTGTAGGCTGTTTAGTTTTGTAAATTTTAAAAATATATTTTAACACGGACGGAGCCATTTTATTTAAACACAAAGCATTCTGGGTAAATGATGACGTGGATAGGTCATCGGTGCAAGGCTGCTAGCGAGCTATATCCACCCTGAAGGTTAATCTTGGACAATATCTGATGATCGACTCTTTTAAATGAAACCAGAGAGCGTTGACAGAGAGGAGAAGGTAGAAATGACTCAGCCTGGAACTGAAAATATGGATGGAGGACAACAGAGCTGCTTCATGGAAGAAGAACCTCAGCTTAGACTGTTAGCTTTAGCACTGACGCTATATTGCCTTATATGTATTTGCTCGGCGCTAGCGCAACAAACAAGCTAAACTGAGGTCCTCCATCCATATTTTCAGTTGAAGCTGAGTCATTTTTGCATTCCCCTCTGTCATGTGGATGGAGGACCTCAGTGACGAGAGAATGTGTAGCGCTGAGCTAATACATATATATGGTGATAGCGTTGGGGCTAACGCTAAAGCTAACAGGCTAAGCTGAGGTTCTTCTTCCATGAAGCAGCTCTGTTGTCCTCCATCCATATTTTCAGTTCCAGGCTGAGTCATTTCTACCTTCTCCTCTCTGTCAACGCTCTCTGGTTTCATTTAAAAGAGTCGATCATCAGATATTGTCCAAGATTAACCTTCAGGGTGGATATAGCTCGCTAGCAGCCTCGCACCGAGGACCTATCCACGTCATCATTTACCCAGAATGCTTTGTGTGTAAATAAAATGACTCCTTCCGTGTAATGTATTTTTAAACTTTTAGTTTAAAATTATAAAAACTAACAGCCTACAGTATTGTTACTGTCTTTATTTTACAGTTAAAATATATGTTTATTAAATAAAGTCTAATGTGACAATTAATCATGGATACCTTTAAGATGGATGGATGGATGGAGAAGAAAAAGAGCATCCAGATTTCAGAGTTCAGCTTACAAAGTAGCTTCAATTTACCACTAGCTAAATATACAAACAAATATCTAGATATTCCATGTCCTTGTTTCTGATCATATTTAATGTTCACTAAAAGAAGAAAGTCATAGACGGCTGTAATATCTTTCAGCTCAGTAGTAGAAAGTATTGTTCTCTGTATGAAGCCCGTCTCTGTCTGTGATCCACCCACTGGGTTTATCCTTGCACTTCACGAAGAAAAAAAAAAAACAGGCGACTCAAAACCAATTGTTTGTGTGAAGCTGTTACATATGCACACACAGACACACACGTTTTCAGAGTAAATACAAGAACACACTTTGCTCAAAAAGCCTGAGAGGTAAACACCACATGAGCAGCCTTCCTGTTACGAATCAGAAAATATTCAAAGCGAACCCCGGTTGGTCTACAGGCGATAAGACAAAACCTTGTAAGTCACAGATAGAAGCAGGCAGGAGTACACACTGCTTCCTTTTTGATAAGTTTTTAGCCCTGGCACATCACAACGTGGTGTTATTTGTGACGACGGCAGAACGAGGTGACTCGTGTCATTCTCAT